TTTCAAAGCAATCGGTGAAGAGCTTTCGGAGAATAGTGGCTTTGAAGAAAAAAAATTTACATTTTTATAAAATGTATAAAATTATCGTAAGACAGAAGTACTATGCCAGAAACCTTTGCGGGAGTGTACGCAACAACTTTCCAAAGTTTCATGGCGATCAGATGAATGGTTTAGTAATGCATAAAGGACAAACAGACAGACATACATTCATTTTTATATATTGTAACATCTCTCTTATATTTTACAAATAATAATAATATAACGTCGGAAGCTCACTTCTTACCATTGGGATACTTCCTAAATAAATAAGAGGTTGTTTAATTATAAACAAAATTATAAGAGTATTAATATATATATATATATCAGGATAAATTACCTGAATTAACAGTTAAAAAATTCTACATGTATAATTTCACTAAGGCTTAAAATTAGTATAGTACCAAGTAAGAGTGCTGGCAGGATGGAATGCTATGAATGGGGTACTGTTGGATTCAGAAATTCACACAGGATCATTGGATCATATCTGAGTTTTTTTCTTTCAAAAATAAATAAAGCCAATCTAAACATTTTAATAGGCTTCAAAACTAGGACAATGGTAATTTGATGGATTAAGACATGACATTGGGTTTTGAAGATTTTGACATAGCCATCAAAGCACTGAATATACAGGGCTGTAATGTGAGTTGTAGTACCTCTGGCAAGATTTTTCTAGGTACCCTGGCCTCTTCTCTTTTTCCCTCCTTGCCAGTAGACAATTTTGTCATGTTTGCTAGTTTTCTTATAGCTTTAATAATAATGGGCTAAGTGCCATAACAAAATAAATTAAGTTAAATCCGAAAAAACAAGGTAAGTACCATCTCCAAAAACCTTAAAATCTGATTTAATTCCACAATCATTATTATTAATTGCCACTATCAATGATTGTTGCATTTAACCTACTTTTTAAGTTGGTGGTGATGATACCTAGCTAACCTTAGATTTTTTTCTGTGTATAATTAGAAAATTTTGCACTTAGTGTAATTATATATGATAAATAAAAGGATTTATGTAATTTTCATGCACTCCCATTTCATGTATGCTGCTTGTATAGAAAAATAAGGTCAAAATTCAGAAAAACATATTTGAAAATTAACATCAAAAATGCACTTATTTTTTGCAATAAACTGACAATATAGTTTTGGTTTATTATTTTAAACAATGAACCATTCTAAATGCTCAAAAAAAAAAAAAAAAAATTTTAATTTCTCTCTGATAATATAGTGCACTTATATATTAACATATTACCACTTGTTCACTGACTGACTGATATACTTACTGTATGAATTATTCACATGGGCCAATAAGTAATTTTTAACTTTCATTATTGTCTTATCTATCCTATTACTCTGAGATTGAAATTAGTTTACAATATGATTCAATGACATACATTTTTTTTAAATTTGATACGATATTAATATTATTTTTGCTTTTAGGGGTTTCAGTTAATCCATGGGACCAAGTAGAAGAGTTGACTGTCGACTTGGATAGTACATGCAGTCTCTCAGGTCTTAATGTTGACCTCAGCTCTTCTACATTTTCGAACAGGTGGGTCTTTATAATTTTTTTCAACTAAAATAAATCTATGACCTTATTTTATAACGTTTTAATGAATTTTTCCTACATTAAAAAAAAGAATTAGAATGATTACCTTTATTCAATAGGTCGATTGTTTTTTTTAAGTTGTTTCTTTATTTTGCTGACCTGATGACTAAATGAACTATTCTTCAGACCAGTTGTCACATGAAATTTGTTTGAGTATATTTACTCTGTAGTTTTAAAATAAACTATGGCCAGACTCTTATGTTATAGAAAGGTTTAAAATTTTAGTGGCTTCTAATTTGTTGCTAATTGTTCTCTGAAAAAAATTGATACTACGTCTTGGAAAAAGCATGTTAGGTGATTATAGTTCACAACTAGAAGTTTACACTGTTCATGTATTCGAAGTCCTTATAACATCAATTTCAGTTTTACATAATTTATTCATTTTACTACCTAGTTACATCTGACTAGAATGACTATCTTTTATTGTAGACCAAAGTACCTTCCAAAAATTTCGCATGGTTCCAGGTTGGACGCATGTCCCTAAAGAATAAATGACTCCACGAAGTACAACAGAAATGATGAATAATATAATTTTATTTTTGTAGCCTGTTGCACTGCAGCCGATTTTCATCTTATCTTAGCTGTTTTTATCAAAACTACTTTTGTAGCAACAGCGATTAAGAAGGCTTAAAAAAATAAGAACTTCACATCCCTTGTGGTCGAACAAAACAGTCCATCCCAAACATTTTGAATTCATCACTATGACAGAATCTGCATAGAGCTATCTCTCAGCTTGAATTTGAAAATGTGGCAATTAAATTTACAGAGACCTATGCAAATTGTAATTTTACTCAGAGATGTTCTATCTAAATTTAAATAAATATATTTTTCTTGACAGGGACCATTAAGGAACAGCTTAAGAGTGTAGTTTTTTGTGCAAAAAAATGTTTGACTATTGCGTTACAAACTTCCCTGATTTTCTTTAAGCTTACCAGAGGCATGTGCTATGGCATAGCTTAGTATGTGTACTGGGCATATGGGAATGCTCCCAAAGCTTTTCTTGATTAACTTTTCTGCTTTTTCCTTGTCTATAATACATAGTATTTATTTAACTGTTCAGTTGTTATATTGAATTAGGCTTTGTATAATTGCAATGCAATCTCTACCTGTAGAATCGTTGCTAATTGATGTTAGATTTATACCTATCATTGTCTAGCTGTTAGTGTAAAATGGAATTTTTTTACCTTTCAGTTCCTCATTTATTACTGTGGAGGCACAATATTGAGATGCCAGCAATTCAGATTGAAATACAAAAGTGTGTTTACTTATAGGTATTGAAGTTCCTTCTTTTGATTTATCCAGAGTGTCCAGCAGCCTTGAACTCCTTAAAGATTGGGGATTTGACTTGAAATTGTGGTGTTGAGAAAAAATTGAGAATTATGCTTAAACAATTTTCAGTTTTAGTATGATCCTTTCTCTCTTCAGCTTGTGTATTGTAGCAGTGTATTGTAGGGGCACACTCGCAGATTATTTTATATGGAATACCTCGTTATTTCTGATATACTGGGGCTTGTAGAGAAATAACCAAATTTATTCTTACTAGGTTGGAAAGGTTAAGTTTCTTTTCATGGATCCATTCCAATTTAAACTAAGGCCACTAGATTCTATTGCATTCAAGTGGGAAATGCTTTATGTCGGTTGTAGTAGTAGAGAGGTTTTTTAAAATGTATTTATTCTTTTTTTTTTAACGTCATTCAGTTGCCATTTGTTGTATCTACTGGAAAAAATGGTTCTATTGTCACTATTTTAAAAATGTTTTAAGAAAGAGTCAAGATCAAAATTGGTTTTTATTGTTGAATTTCTTCTTTGTCTTTCTCCACAGTGGCTTTCAATGGAAGAGCCTAAATCCATTTATTTCAGTCTTCATGGTCCCTTGCCAGGACATTCATAGAACACAGCTGCTTGGTACCTCTTTTCTCTCCCAGCTTGGTTATTTCATCAATCCAAGTTTTTTGGGGCATCCTCTTGGCCTCTTTTCTGTTGGTGTGGCCTTAAGAAGTTTTCTGGGCCCCTTTCTCCGTTCATCCTCATAACATTACCGATCCATTTGAGAATTTTCTTTTCCTTGATTTCTAACATTAGTGGCACCTTAACATCTTCTATAATCTGTTCTCTTTGGATGAAATCTTTTCTAGGTTGGCCAGCTACTCTCAGATCTTTCATTTTAGCTGTGGTTAGCTCTCACTACCCTACAGTAGGGTTGGAAGGTAGAGTGTGTTATATATATTTTCGTTCTTAGTGTGGTTGAAATCAATTTTTCGGATGTTTATTTTGTGAGCTGTATACATCAGGCTCTTGGATCATAAGTTACCTTTAGCAATTCCTGAATAGGTTTTAATCGCCAGTAGGTCTTTTTCCAGCAAGATCCGGTGCCAATAGATTCAAATGGTGCAAACAAATTTAAAGTCCATTATATTTTACCAATGGTTACTGTTCTATTGGCGTTCTTCCAAATACTCCTGTTTACATAATATTCTAGAGATGTGGAATCTACAGTATATTTCTATATTAAGCTGTAATGGGATTTTGCAAACACCTTCAAAGGGTCCATCTTGTTGCTGATGCAATTTTAATTAATTCTGTATGCAGCTAATTAGTCTAATGATGCCAGTTCTAATCCACTTTGGACGGGTTAAAATTTATTTTGTGGTGGACCCACGGTATGAATCTCTACTTTTCCAATCTGGTTAGAATAGGTTTGGTTATGTCTCTAGAACAACGCCTCATTATACCAGTAATGGTGAGGTAGCGGTTAAAAAAAAAAAAAAGAAGCTTGCAGTCTTTATGTTCTTCAGACAAGTTAGTTCATGGATGCCACTCAAACACTCACGGAGGCCACACAGGTTTTCCACCTATAGTATAATATAATAATTATGAAGCGGATGCTATAAAACTTTCAAGAAGTAAAAATTAATATATTATTTTTAAAAAATAAATAAACCTTACAAACTATACAAAGAAATATTACTGGCCATATTTTTTATTTGATTTTATATTCAAATATTAATATGCATATTTTTATGTATAAAAAATATAAATTATTTTAGTTGTGGAAATTTCATGTGCTAGATGTATCAGATTTTTATAAAATTACACATCGAGATTGCAACTATCTACTTTTTTTTATATATAAAAATAGGAATTGTTCAAAGATTTCTACAAAAAAAAAAGAGAAAAAAGAAAAGAATTCTTATAAGGAAACTATGAATAATTGTCCACTTTCTATCTCATTAATAATGATTATTAGCAATTCAATATTATCAGCTTTGATATATTTTTTTTTTTTGCATGGTCAATATTGTGAATTTTTCTTTAAATCACAGATTTAATTTAATTTATTTTTTAAAATTTTTCCAGTGATGCTCTGCTTGCTTTGCCATCACTGTCAGCCTTTAAACAGGAGCTCCTTTCGCCTTTTAACAATACTGAAACGTACGTACTCTATCATTTTATTTATTTATTTTTTCTTTTCTTTGATATTAAATGAATTTATTTGAAAAGTTGATTTAATCAACTTAAGAGATCAAAGAGAAAAATTTTGATGTATCTAACACATGATTTTCCTATGTTTTTGAGATCTATATTTAATTTATAGGTGATTTATATGTAAGTTGTTACAAGAGGTTAATCAGGAATTGAGACTGCTATTAAAGCCATTGTGATCCATGATTATCATTATTAACTTATTATAATGAATGTTCTAGGAGGAAATATAGGGGAAATAGTTTACTGAAAAAGTAGTTGAGCATTGACAACAGAACATCCATATCTCAATCTGGATTTCAATGGAAACCACATTTTTTATCCATAAAAACCCACATTTTTCTAACGCAACTGAATATTTTAAATTTTTTCACCTTTTTCGGAATCTTTAACGATTTATCCATAGAATAGCAACCAATTTGTAGGAAAATACTGCATGGTCATATTATCAGGAAGTTGATGCGAAAAGCAAGTCTTAGAAATACTCTATAGAATCTCATGCATTGAATTTTGAGCTATATTTTGGGGATTTAAAAAATATTAGTTTATTTAATCAGGTTTCATTAGTATTAGAAAACTCATAAAATAAAGCAACTTCGAACTACATTTTCCCTAGGCTAACTCCCCTCTATCCCTGACATTTGTGCCTGGGACATTTAATAGATTATTATTAGTAACAGATTCTTTACCCTCCATTGGCTATCCCATTTAGCAATTTAAAATACTGCATGGTCATGTTATGACCATGATCTTTTTCTTTGCTGTAGCTATATAATTGTTCCAATTCCTTGCTGCCATTGCCATTTATTAATCTCAATCTTTGTCTGACATCTGTTTAAAATTTTGTAACAAGCTCCAGATGGATTGTGTGTTAATTCCAATATGCATATTTAACCAAATTTTTCTCTTTTTATTAATTAATTGATTCATTCATTAATTCATAACAGTGGTGTTAAGATTCATAATTACAGGACGGTCTCAATAGTCTGAATCCTCTAGTAATCTGAAACCCCTGGTAATCCGAACAAGAAAGAAAAACTGATCAGAGACGGAATCAATCACCTGACGTGTTCGGGTTATCAAGACCGCTCTGTATAGTCAGGATTGATTTACTTTTTATGTATAGTTTTTTTTAAAGGTATTTGAAGCTTGCTTCTGTTTCTTACTTAAAAAGTTTTTTTCTTTTTTTAAGTACTAAATAATAGAATCTGTTTGTTTATTTTGCTTTAATATCTTCATGCACTCTAACATGGTAGAAAAAACAGGTGATGGTCTGATTAGCTATGTTTTCTAGCCAGATTGAGGTCAGTTAAGGATTTTGTCTACATAGTCATCTTTGTTCACTTTTTAAAATATAAAATTTAATACTTAATGGTTGACCGTTGTATATTATTGAGTGAGGAAATTATCCAGGATGGTGGTCATAAAAAGAGTGAAGTAGTGAAAAACTATTTTTATTTCAAGCCAACGTTTCAACCCAACTTTCCAGGTTTTCTTCAGGGATGTGTATGCAGCGAGGAGTTTCAGTTGGCTGTCAAGACTTGCTGCATACACATCCCTGAAGAAGACCTGTAAAGTTGGTGCAGAACATTGGCTTGAAATAAAAATAGTTTTTTCACTATTTCAGTCTTAGGACCGCCATACCGGACTATCTACTTATTCAATAAAATATAAAATGTGAAGTTTATTAGCAATTGTTACATTTTCTTGATTTTTCCATATATTTTGTTGCATAAAACCTCAGCTTACTTGCTTGATGTTTCTTTAGACTATTTAGGGTTCCATTCATTAATGAAGAGACCCAGTTCTTATACTGCTACTTTAAAACTGTCGATTAAAGCTTGACAATCCAAAGTATAAAATAATTCCATAGCGTGGGAAAAGTTTCATAATTTAGTTTTGTCTTGTATAATTTCTTATTATTAAAATATGAAATTTTCTTTCCAGCAATACTGATTCCGGAGACCAGAATTCTCCTCCAAGATGCAAACCCAAGCCAACATTTACTACTGGTAAGTGACCAAATTTATGGAATATTTATGTACCAGGTGTATAAATATGAACACAGAATTTTCTTATAGAAAAGCATTAAATGTTGCATAAAAATGTTTTGATTTTTGAAATATTGTCTGCTAGCTATACATTATTCTCATCTTTGGCAATTTATGAATGCCTTGCAAAAAAAAAACAAACAAAAAAAACTGTTGCTCTTTTATGGCAAAGCAGTCATTTTCGCACATTTCGTACGAAAGGTGAAGTGCTACTGAGCCACTGCGTGGCCCTTCCATGCAAATAAATAATAGTCAGATGGAGCAAAGTCTGATGAATTATCAGCATGTGCTAATATTTTCCAGCAGAATGCCTTAATACTCAATTCAAATTTATCATTTGTTGTTGATATCATTCAGTATTAACAGTTTCGCCAGGTTTTAGCAGCTTATAATATATCAGACCCCTATGATTAATCCAATAAATACAGATTAATACAAAAACACACTATATTCTTGGATGGTTTGCCTAGAGTTACCCATGGTCTTTGATGCTTAGGATTCTCAAAATATATCAATTTTTCACCATCTGTCACAATTCGATGGAGAAATGAGTTTCTTTTGTATTTGGCGAGTAGTTTTCAGAGTTGGTTTTTCAGTTTTCTTACTGTCTATCATTCAGTTCATGTGAAACCCATTTTCCCCTTTTGATCTTTCCCATCTCTTTCAAACGTATAGTGACAGCTTCTTGTGTTACATTCAATTGATCCGTGAGTTATTGTTGTGTTTGTGCATAATTCTCATCCAATAATGCTTGCAATTCGCTGTCTTAAAACTTTTTCATTGATCTTTTCTGTTCTTCATTTCTCCTGTCTAAAATGCCACTTCTGAATTTTTAAAACCATTTTAAGCCCTGTAATTTACCAAAAACATGCTCAACTTTATATTCAAGCTTTGACAAGCATTTGATGCAATTCTGCCTCAGTTTTCCTCTAATGGTAACAGAAAAATAATGCTATCTGCTAATCTTAGTTTGTAGGCACAAAACTCTACATCTCCAACACCATAAAATGGATGCTGTTGAAGAAACAAATTAAGCCAATAACGGTTACTACATTAAGAACTTGAGCCATCTCTGGAGAGATTCTGGTTTCAAATTTACACACCTGGAAAATAAGCTGTTTTCATATTCATTAGTTTAATGTGGTGGCGATGATGTCATGAATATCTTAATATTTATTTCTATTTAATTTAATTTTTTTGTTATTTATCAGGAAGAAACATAGATTATAACAACCAGAGCAGTCCCCCAGCACCAAGTATCGAGAAAAATCTAACTTCTGTTGATAAAAATGGTGTTACTTCAGCTCCTGCTACATCTACTGTTAAAGTCTCTCCTGACGAATCCAGAGGACCGTTTACACCTGAATCTTCAGCCATAAATACTGAGTAAGATTTCTTATTCTCTATTTTAATAAGATAATAACTGTTTAACAATTGAGCAACACTGTTCAATCCTGTGTTGAGTTAATATCCTAACAAGAAGAGGAAGGGGATGACAGAAAAAAAGAAAGTATGGATGGAAGTTACTAATTTAAGGAAGTATTTTATGAGAGTACTTATTAATCTTATGCTTTTATAAAATATTAACTGTTATATTATAACAGTGTTCCTGTTATTTCCCTCTCTAAATATTATTAATTGGTCCTTTTTGTTTCAGATTTCAGTATGTGCTTGCTGCACCTACCTCAATTGCTACTAAAGTTGGAGATGAAACTTTGACTTATTTAAATCAAGGACAACCCTATGAGATCAAACTAAAAAAACTGGGAGATTTGTCTGAGTATAGGGGTAAAATCTTGAAAGTAAGTTTTGTTTATTTTATTTTTTTTTTTAATTTATAAAGTGCTCACAAAACGATTTCAGTCTATGGCATCAAGTTATGGGGAACAACAGAAAAATCAAATATCAAAAATAATAATCATTCCAATCCAAAATAATTTGAAAACTTTTAGATGACTTCTTTTATATCTCTAAATAGAGATTATTCAATGACCTTGGTTTTTCTTTTGTCACAGCAACTGCCACAGATTGTTTCATTAATTTCCTTGATGGACTGACTCTAAATTCCAATCCAATACCACAAACCCTTACAATTTTTACGAACCCAAGTGACTTACTATATTGACCTTACTTTATTATTGTTTTAGTTTTCTTATTAATTTTACATTTATTTACCTTACTTCATTTACATCTATATGTTTTTATTACTTTGCTTTGGTTTGTAACAAGAAACAAGAAAATATCATGGGCTATCTCTTTGTTGTGAGGCTTATTTGAAAAGTTAGTAAACTATAATCATAAAAGGCTTAAATCTTTTACATAAGAAAGGTATCTCTTTATTTCCTCCTTATAGACAAAATAATGGAAACTTGTGAAAAAAGTAACTTAGGTTCTGTTATAGGAAGTCAAAATAAAGGTTTTCTTTAATGGTGGCATAGGATACTTAACTGTTTTCCATATTTTTTAACAGCTTTATCATTATCTGATTTTTTTTAAATGCTTCTTTGTTACAAAATTCTTTAGAATCTTTTATTAGGCAAAAATTTTCTCTGCATGAATTTGTTTTATTTTTATTTTTAATTAAATATATTCCATTCCTTTATCAAATATAAAGCATATTCTGTTTAAAAAATTATGTGCATATCTGCATAGTACCTGACATAACTATATAGTCATCAGAACTATTATATTTAAAAATGGTGTAAAATATTTATTACAGGAACAAATTTAATAATGAAGAAATAAAATATACATAGGTACTTATTTAATATATTTTTTATTAGGTATCAAATAGGTATTAAAAATATCAAACTCGATTAGTAATCAGTTACAGTCCAGGTATCAAATAAAAAATATCGGATACAATTATCAGATAAAAAGTAATAGGAAGGTTCTGACCCATTTGTATCAAATACAAAAAAGAACCCGTATCAGTTGTATCTAGATACAAAGATTCTGATATCAACCCATCCTTAGTTACCTATGGATATTAATCACAAAAGTTCTAGTACCAAAATCTCTGTTTTCAAGACTTCAGCTTGTCTACTATTTTTATTTTCTGCTTGCTCTGTATTAGTATCTTTGCATTTAATGATTCAATTTTTCTATCTATTTATTCCCCAAATAGAGTAATATTTTTTTCTAATATTCTAAATACTCATTTTTCTTCTCTGTTTCATTCTCATAGATGCAAGAATTATGTTTTTTTTTTTTTATATTAGTGTTTCCTTTCCATTACTGTACTGTTTTCATTTATATTGCTTACAAGTGCAAATTAGTAAACAGATTGACTTTTATTTATCTGTAGTTCTTTGTTTTCATTTATTTCTTTTATCTTTAATTATAGATTTTATTCCCGAGAAATGAAACTGTAATTGTAATTGTACATTTCAATTATTCTTAAGGGAGTAAGCATCCCAGCATAAAATTTACTTTCTTTCTTTCATTATGTAAATACTTCTAAGTTTATAGTTTTTGTTTTATAAATATACTCAAAAAAATTAATCATTGAATTTATTTATTGATCTATTTCTAATTTTTTTTCTTATAGAGTGTCATTCGTCTTAGTTTTCATGAAAGGCGTTTACAATACATGGAACGTGAGCAAATGGCTGCTTGGGAAGCTAGCCATCCTGGCGATAGCATTTTAGAAGTTGATCTTCCTCTTTCATATGGAATTTTTGACATTCATCAAGACCATAATCATCTTAATGCTGTCGAATTTCTGTGGGATCCAACCAAAGAAGGTGGAGTTTATATTAAAGTAAGAAATTTTCTTTTCATTTTACTCTTTCGTTGATCTTTAGAAATCATTGCATCTTAATTTGGATTACTGTTATTAATCAGTTTTTATATTATAAATCTATTTTATCATTCAGCCACTGCATGGTATTATGGCCCAATAAGAACCAAAGCCTCCTCCATTATTCTGCTTCATTCTACTTTATCCATAGACTTGGTGGGCCATCGTGTAACTTAGCTGTTGTTGGTCCTCTTCCACATCATCCAGCCACTGCTTGCAAGGCTTACTTCATCTTTGAAAACTTCCTGGTGTACCATACAGTATTTGTCTTGGTAATCTCAACATAGGCATTCTTTCCACATGTCCAAGCCAGCCCATTCTTCTTTTCTTAATAACTTGCACTATGTCCGATTCGGAAAATAGCTCTTTCAATTCTGAGTTTATTCTTATCCTATGTTCATTGTCCTCTCGCATGGACCCAATTATCTTCCGCAGTACCTTTCTTTCCCATATTCGAAGCCTGTTCTCACCAGCTGAAGACATCACTCAGGTTTTTCTACTGTATAATATTGTAGGCCTAATTGCAGTTTTGTAAATCAGCAGCTTACTAGATCAGCTCTTCTGGAGAGGTTTTTGAATGTTGGAGCTTTACACATGGCTTAAAGACACTTATTGCCAGTTTTTGCCTTTATGTCACTATTCGTGCCTTTATGTCCTCTGTTGTCTCCTTATTTTGCATGACAATCCCTCCAAGGTCCTTATAGAACTTCCTGCTTGCTTTCTTCTCATATGCATCACATTACTCCTCCATCCTTTTGTTTTCTGCAGCTCTTCTTTTCTTCCTACATGGGTTATTTGCCATTGCTCTCAGGTTAACATACTCCTCATTTATTTTAATGGTCCTTCTCTGTGGCAATTTATTCTTGGGTTCATTTCTATTATGTATTGTCTTTTGGCGCTCCTCGGCGTACCTATCCTTTCTCTTGGGCTTGGTTTCAGCTATATATTTTATAGTTAAATCCATTTTATATTTTGAATTAATTACCTAGGAATATACAGTATTTTATATTGGGTGTTAATGTGAATTTTGTCTCTTAATTTTTTTTATTCCTTATAATTTGGAATGTAGACCATGAAAGATGGCCGATGTAGGAAAGTCCTAATGATGAGAAAAATATTTTCTATCATATTATTAATGTTATTAATAGGCATATTTCCCAAAACTAAGGTCCGGTGACCAATATTTAGCTGAATGGTGCGTCTGAATGAAGTTTCAAGCATGCAATATATCGGCTCTTTAGCAAAACTACTGTAGTGTTACTTTGATTCATTAGTTGGTTGCTGATCGGTGAGAACAGACATAAAATAATGTGGGACAAACAAGTTCGAAAATGGTGTCAAGAATTTCGAAATAGTTGCACAAATGTTATTGGTGCGAAAATTGGGCCTGCCACTCTAAAGTCCGTGGTTCACATTTGTGCGGCCATTTCAAAAGCTTCGACACTATTTTCAAACTTGTTTGTCACTCATTATTTTAGGTCCATACACTAGGCATGACTCATGAAGAATTTCAGCAGCTTAAGGTCCTTTTTCAGAAAAAATCTAATCATTCTGCATTCTTCACAACTGGTGGGATCTATGATTGCCCCAGCCATTGTAATCTGCTCTCACCGATTGACAGACTACTACTGAATCTGTAAGTAGTTTAGCTAAAGAGTTGGTAGATATGGTTGCATACGTGAAACTTCATTCAGGCTTACCTTCTTCTTCTTCAATGGGTGCTCCAGTCCTTGTAGAACCTGGGCCTCTGCCACTACTCTCCTCCACTCCTCACGGTCCGCAGCAAGATTCCTCCAATTTCTGATCTCCAGCCTCCTCAAGTCCTCTTCTAAATCATCGAACCATCGGTGTCTGGGTCTACTCTTTGTCTTTTTCCTCCTGGAGTACCATTCAGTCTTCTCCAGCATATTTTTATCAATTCCGACGGTATTCCATCAGATCCTGAAGATTTATTGTTTTTTAGTGAAAGAATTATTTCAGCAATTTCCTCTCTATCTGCTGATACATCCTCATCAATATTATCATTATCTGATTCATACATCTGGGTGGTGTGCATGTTATTTGCTTCTACATTTAGCATTTCTTTAAAGTATTCGGCCCATCTCCCCTTGATTTTGTCATTATCAGTGAGAAGGTTTCCGTTTTGGTCCTGACAGAATTCTGTCTGTTAGCTAAAGTCCTGTCATAGCCATTTAATGCCCTTGTAAAACTTCCTACTCTCTTGTGCTAGAAACATTTCTTGTATCTCTTTGAGTTTCATCGTTTCGTCTGTTCTATTCTTATCACACATAACTTTTTTAGCCTTTCTTCTTTTTTCCAAGTATGCTTCATATGTACTGCGCGTTTTCCTTTGGGTCATTTTTATCTGAGCTTCATTTCTTTCTTGTAGGGCCGTCTCACAATCACTATATTGGTTACTGGACCTTACTTTGGGAAAATGCCTTGTAGAAAGAGACAGTTCACCTTAATACCCACTATTTGATAGTCATTCAAAGAACCTGGATATAATAATTAATAATTGCGACTTTAGTTCAAAATAACCAATATCTACCCACAGACAAATTAGACTTTAGCTTCTTATGATAGATGTGGATATCATAAGATTTGGTCTTATTTTCACTCACTTGAAGCACAATTTATGTTCAGCATTTTAATGCTGTGCCATTAAAACACAACATTAAAGCTTCACCTCATGCCATTAAAGCCAAAGCGTCTATTAGAATATATTACATTTTTTACATGGTATAATGTCAATATTCAGTCAAACATTTAAACATTTTTTTTTGTTTGTTTAAAACTGATATAAAACAACATATTCTCTCAAAAATTAAAAAAAAAATATGTTAGTGCAATATGGAGATGTATTGCTTTAAAAGCATTGGGAGATATTTTTGAGCAACTTTAAAATTATTCATTTATAGTACTTTATTGTATGTATATTTTGTTTCAGGTAAATTGTATCAGTACAGAATTCACACCAAAAAAACATGGCGGTGAAAAAGGCGTCCCCTTCAGAATTCAGGTTGAAACATATTTACATGATGATAGTATAATTAGAAGATTACATGCAGCTTCATGCCAAGTTAAGGTTTTCAAGGTATTAAATTTGTTATAGTTTTTATTTTCAAATTATTATTCCAATATCAGAGCTAATAAATAAATAATTATATTTTAGTTGAAAGGTGCAGATCGTAAACATAAACAGGATAGAGAAAAGATTCTGAAACGTCCTATAATTGAACAAGAAAAATATCAATGCTCGTATGAGGTTACCATTTTGACTGATGTAAGTATATATTTTTATATCTGCAGAAGTTAATTTCCTAATAATATTGCCCAGTATTATAGAATTAAGTTTTTTTTTTACATTAAAAGATGTTTGGACTTTAGAAATTACTTTGCTAAACTTAGTTATCCCCACATGTACTATTACAGTAAGGCTCGAAATCGGTTTTGTACCAAATATAAGCTCCTATCATGCTCAAATACCATGAATGGGGTACCGTTGGATTCAAAATTTCACGGGGGGTTAGCGAATCGTATTCTCCACTTTTGTTTTTCTTTCTAAAATAAATAAAGTTGATACAAACATTTTGCTAGGCTTCAACACTGGAACGGTGGTAGGTCTGTAGATTGATACGGGACAAATTGGATTTTTAAGATTTTGATGCGTACAGCAAGACCCGCTTAGTTCCTCCAGAACTATCGGATCCTGCGTTTTTAAGCCCAAAAACGTACTATTTTCGGGATAACGCAAGGCACAGGTTCGCATCCACACAACCTTACATTAATTGTAGTACTGTCATTGAATACATGTCTCATTTCGTCGACTTGAGGTCTCTATGATCGAGAGAGGGGGAGTTTAAATTATTTATCGATGGTGTTTTTGATCGGCAAACCATATCATCGTTAATTTTTCAGCACATCTCAAGATTGAACCACCAATTTCGAAGGCTTCCTTCTTCTTCAGACTGGCAAAATAGTACAATCACCCAGAAAATTCAGGCAAACAAGTTATGAAAGAAAATAAACTTTATTTGTGAATAACTGAAAAATTACACACTTTTCCCTTGGTTATGCCCATGATTATATAAAAGATTACTAAATTCCCTACAAATGGACAATTTTTAGCAAAGATACAGCTTACTGAAATTTGTAAACATGTTGATTCCAAACAAAAATGAAGATTTAAATTAATTTTTGTTTGTTTTGTGTATTATATTTATCGATAAAGTAACATTTGATGTCTTAATCTTTTGATAAGTTGCATTTTTTTATTTTCTTATTAATTTGGTATTTGATAACTATATGCTGTGCGAATTTTTCGCTACTACTAATTAGTATAAACACTCTTAATTGAATGATTTGTTTTGACAAGTGTTTTGCCGGGTATCTATTTGTTATAAACGGGTATTGGTTATTACCTGGAATAGGCATAACCGTTACCTGGTGTTTGCAAATAGTATCCGATAACACTCAGACAGAGCCAATCTTTTATAGTTAAATTCAGACACAAACGTAAATTTTACCATAGAATATATACTTAGCGAGTTAGGACCCAAAACATTTTTCTTGTTTTCATAACTTTTTTTTTCTGAATTTAGTCCATGTACGAAAATTAAAAGGACAATTATTAGAACATAGTAGGAAAGTTTCTTCGAAATTGTTAAAGCCATTTTCACGCTACAGTCTATAGAAAAGCATATTTTTAATTTATTGCACAGCAGCTATTGCACATGGAGCATCCAATGTCAAAACCCTACAAGATAAAAAAAGAATCAGTTCATTAGTTCCTGAGAAAATCTTGGCACAGACAGACAGACCAATGGCTAAAAATGTGTCTTTCAAACTCAGGGGGCTCTGAAACGTATAGATCCGTCAAAAACTGCAATTGGAATATTCACACACAAATAGAATAAACACAATCAATCTTTTATAGGTAAATTTTCAGAGCACTTAGTAATTTATACAGCAATACCACCAGGCATACAAAACATGTATTTATTTATTTATTAATTTTTAGCCCTAATTTAAAAAAAAAAATTTTGCTTATTTAAGTAATAATTTTAAATTAACCTACCTGTGATCATGAATTTACCGCTAAATTATATTATTGGGACTCGACTTAAGACAAGTGTGGCATATTTCTTCTGCCATTATTGACAGATTTCTGAGTTCTGCAACTTGTTCAATCAATGAAGAAGTACTTTCACTTTCTCACCTTATACAAAACATGATTTAAATATTATTAAAATGATTTCAGTATTATAAATAGAAAAATGTTTTAGGGCCTAACTCGCAAAGTATATTTTCTATGGTAAAATTTACATTTCAGAGCCCCCTGAGTTCGAAAAAACACTGTTTAGCCTGTTTTTTTGAAAGGTAATGAAATTCCTTACAAAACTATATAAAAATCGTTCATTTCGAGCAACTATTTATGAAGTTATAGCTATTCAATTTCCAATGTAAGATTCCCGGTTCATATTTTGGTGTCAGAAAGGATTGAAAAAGAGAAAAAAGATAAATTAGTGAAAGTAAGAAAATCTGTTGCCCGCATCACACAAGCTTCACTATTTCCACTACTTTTAACAGAAATTATTGTTTGTCAAAATTAGGCAATGGCAAAAAGTTTTTGATCAGCAATATTAGAGGGTGTGGAAATTTTTACACTGATCTACCTTAAGCTGGTTTACATTGCTTTAGTTCATCAAATAAATCGTACTCAAATCTTTTCTTTGATCGATTTTCAGGAAAATAAATTAATTCATTTTTTTTGTTTCTTGATGGATATATGTAAAGATATAAATACTTTTCTGAAATAGGTGGGAAAGTCGTGTGAGTGGACACACCAGATTTTTTAAATTATAGTTACTTAAATACTTTGAGTGGAAAATAGGTAAATAGTTTTTTTCCCAAGATTTAGTGACAAATTGCATTTTAAGCTAGAGCATGAGATGAGGTACAGTATCTTTAAGTTTGGTGTACAACTTTCTTAATTTTCGACTATTTTCAAACACTAAGTGTAGATGTGGAAATTTGGAATGTTGAGGATTTTTTTATACAGGCCCGGGATGTATTTGATGGATCTGTCTTGACGAATCATGTTGGAGATTGAGAACAATTTGTGGGAGACTGATGAGGGTGAGCTTTGATTGATTTCTAATCAGGTTGTTTCATGTGATTGGGGAAGTAATTTGATTTCAGAATCTTGTGTAGTCTAGTAAAGTTGTTGTTGTGGAGTTGTGAGTCAGATAATGTTAAACAGTGGTGAATAAGGTTTTTAGCTACCCTGATTTTTCGGTAGTGGGAAAAATAATTTAGGAGATGGCCGGAGTAGGTAGGTTTGGTGCACCAGTTGGTGGATAAGGTGTTATCATTATTTCTGGTAATGAGTAGATCGAGGAAAGGAAGGTAATTATTAGATTCTATTTCAATGGTGAAACAAAGTCGAGAGTGGTATGAGTTAAATGCAGAAAGAATGTGTGGAATAGCGTGGGGGTTGAAGATTAATAAGAGGTCATATACATATTTTTTAATGAAAAAAATATCATAAGGAAATTATATGAATAATTGTTACTTTTTCATAGGTACCTGTCAGTAATGATTTTGACTACACCCCTGCCATATCTGTACCACCTCAGATCCCTAGTTCTGACTTGTAAGTACATTTTTTTTTTAATTTTTTTTTTCTTTAAAGTTCTTAATTATTATTTACAGAATACTTAATAATAGTTTGTTTTTGTGCCATAAATATTTAATTAGGTAATAACTTTATTTGTTCATTTTGTTCAATAAAAATATGGTTATATTTGTATTCTATTTTGTAGATTTTTCATGAGAAGAATTAGAGGAGACACTAATTATTTACTTAGATAAATTGTTTACTTATATTTTGTGCTATATGATTTTAGGTTTTTAGCTAGTAAACGTGTAGTAAGATCACATTGGTCCCTCTCTTATCTAATTGTTGTACCCTACCAAATTAAGCAAAAAGCTTTTTAGGAATTTCTGTCAGGATGAATTTATGTTGGAGCACTGATTGGGGATTTATGAGAGTAGCTTCTACAACTTATAAGAATACATCTATCCCTTCTTTTGCTCGTTTAATTCTTCCTCCAAAAGTACCATTCATACGGAAATTGTTTAAATTAATGGTTTGTTCTTACCTATGGAAAATTTATTTTTTCCCTAGCTTTCTATTATATATCATTTTCTCTTACTAAATAGGATTTACTGAATGAACAACAACAAAAAGAAGAACAAATGCTGTGGAACTTTCCATGATTGGACATGTTTAGAGATTTTGTCCTCTTGAAAAGAATGCTCCCTTCCTTATAAAAAGTTTAATGAATAAATAGTATAAAAAAAAGCTTGTATTATTGTATTCATCCACCTGCATGGCCACGGTAGCTTTGAAATTATTATGCCCCAAACTTAAGGTACTTACTAAGGCTTTTTCTTTAGCGATGGGTGTGATATCATAATGATATTGGTCAAATTCCATAGATTAATTCTAAAAGAATTTAGCTAAACCCGAGATTTTCTGATTTTAAAGTCATTTTTTATCTTAGCGTGGCGATTATTATCTTGTCATATTAAACAATTTTTTTTTTTTATTCTATCTGTTTTATAGAAGTTTAGTTTGAAGAAAAAAATAGCAAATTAATGTTCTGGTCTAGTTATGGGAGAATATTTCCGATTATTAGAAGTTTTAAATGCATTAGAACCAATAGAATCTTAATGGAAAAAATAAAATTGTCCTTTTATGAGAAGGACTGCTGTTTTATGAAAAACAGCAGAAATTATGACAGGAGGTCAATTTTCCAGTCGTTTGAATATGAATTTGCTTTAATCAAAACATATTAACCTAATGGGTAAATGCAGTAAACTATGTGGGAATTTTTAAATGTTTTGAAGTAATGTTAGTGCTGCAGTATTGAATAAGAACATTCCTTCGAGGTAGTGCCACTGGTTTCTCTTACCTACCGCCTCTAACTCACAAAGTATTGTCTTTAATTGTTCAAATAGAAAGGCACTCTCAAGAATAATAAGAAAAAAATTAGTAATTTATTGAATTTTATTGTTCAATTAAATGTACTGGGTTAAAGTTTTTTTTTTTTTTTTGTAAATATAAACTGCTGAACAAAATTAACGACTCACATTGCTTATGTAACAATTACCCAATATTTTTAGTTTTTAAAAGGCTATTTAAGGGTTTTAGCATTTATAGTGTAAGTGTAGCTCTGTCCAAATATGAATAATCCCTGATTAATATTTTTATCTCTGTTTAATAACTTTAATCACTACAATTTCAAAGTTAGCGTCAAGAGATTTCTTTTACTACCAGTCTTTAATTTGATTTTTTTCCGACAGCAGATTTTTTTTCTTTCATAGTATTACATTTTAAGAACATTTCAATGACTTGGAACAAGAATTTAAGTTATTCAAATTCCTTATTCCTTAAAATTCTTGTGTACAGACATTGTGTGGATGCCTGGAAGTTGCATGTTCATCAGATAACAAATCTTAAAACTTTATGATGCTTTAAGAGATATGTTCACACTTTAAAAGGTAATCTCAAAAGCTGTGATGTTAAAACATGTTTAAACTCTACAAATATTTTTCTATTGTTAATAATTGGTTTAAGATCTTTTTTGGATCTAAAAATTAATTTTTATAATCTATTTCTTGGTAAATTTAGATCTTCAGATCTGGGCCCTACTCATTACACATCCATTAGAGTTTAAATGATTGGAAGTGAATGGTTTTTATAAAACGTCATGATGTGAGGTGGTATTTTCTGTATTTCAAGTTGGCTCAACAGTTCTTGGTGGTATTGATTCTGAGGTGGTATTTTTATATTTCAAGGAGGCTTAACACTTATCAAATTGGAATTTTTTGAGGGGGCTGGTAAGGCGTTAGAGGCTGTGTAGAGAAAGTCCATGAATGCTCATAATAATATGTAATACTCAGAGGAGTATTTTTGAGTACCATTTGTTGTAAAACACTCATTATCTGGACGTTATTTAGTCCTATGTTCGGGTCTCTGGATGTGAACTGCTTTAGAGAATTCATGTCGCAAGTTGAAAATTTAAATATTTGGACTTGGGGCATAAGGGACTCAGACAAGGTTATTGTTTAGCATGCCTGCTGTTTAATATTGCGTTTAACAGAGGCTTATAATAGGCCTTCATGGTTGTTGTGCATTCTTACCACAAATATTTTTATAAAAAATAATAATAATAAAAAAATGTTGCTTTGGAATTTGCTGTAAGAGAGTCAGGAATCCAAATAGGAGGAATGATTTTCATCTAATCATGCCAAATTCTAGCCTATGTCGATGATTTGGATGTCATGGGATGCAGTTTTTTGAGTATAGAGAGCGCCATCCTAAATCTGCAAAAAGCAACCGTTAAGTTTGGATTGCAGGTGGATGATTACAAAACAAATTATATACTCTGCAATCTTAAAGGAGGGAGAGTAAAAATCGGAGACTTCAACTGCAAATGTGTTGAGGAATATATTTACCTTAAAAACTTTTTTGAACTCGACCAATTGTATGGAACCAGAAATTCAGCGGTGGATTATGGCAGCTAATAGATGCTATTATGGGCTCCAGAGGCATCTAAAAGACACATCTCTCTTGGGCCAGTAGGGTATTTATTTATAAGACGCTAATCAGGCTTCTATCCAGGCCTCACCTATTCATCTGAGTGCTGGATGACGACGAATGCACTAGACTAGAATCATCTCTATTGAGATTCAAAATAATGATTTTGAGAAGGGTTATGGAGCTTCTGTATATCAACAATGTATGGATATTGTCCATTTAATAAAGGCTGGATGTCTAACATGAACAGGGCATGTTGCACACATGGATAATAATAAAGTCACCAAATTGCTCCTAGAAGAAAAATTATTCAGACGTAGAAGAGTTGAATGACCTTGTCTGCTTTGGGTGGATTAGATTTATCTAGGTGTAGATGATCAGAAGCTGTCGGGAGTTAGAAATTGGAAGTTAGCAGCACAAAACAGAGGAGTCTGGCAGTTCCAACTGAGGGAAGCCTTAGCTCTCTTGAAAATGAGTTACAGAGCTATCCGAGAAGTTCAAGTTCCATGTTTGGTACTAGAAATCAATTTCGGGTGTACAAATTGTTTAATAATCTCTTTGAAGTCATGGGAAGATGATTGATTGTTGTAATTTCTGCCCATGGCGGCAGCATGAGTTATAAAGTTAATTTAAATAGAAATTGTGGAGTATCTTATGTTTGTGAATTTTTTATTTACTTTTTTTTACTAATACTGATTTATTTTCTAAAATCCTATATTAAATTACTAAGTTTATCTAATTTATAATGACAAAATACTGAAAATAATTTTATTCATGAAAAAATAAAATAATATTATAAATGGTTATTATTTGGATTGGTCCCTCGTTAATTAATTATGGTTACCAAGTTAGGTCACTGAAAACCATTCATCGATTTAGTTATTATCGTTGTTGGGTAGAGATGAGTGGGAAGGATACAAATAGTTATTGTTGGTTGGCCTTCAGTATTTGGATTACAATATTTAAAATGTTGAATATTGAACCAGTTATTTAAAATGAATATTAATGAACATCAGTTTATAAAATTTATTCACTAGCAAACATTTTTTCTTTTACCTTCTTTTAAGAGATAAGAGAAGAAATTATATCCATCAATGGTCAATAGTAAACTAGCATAAAATGTGTTAGTTGTTTATTGCCATTTATTATATTTTTGAAGCAGAAAGAATAATTTAATTATAAATATGTGTGCAAGGATTTTTGTGCTTTTAAAGGTGTATGTATCATGTCTTGTTTCACTAGCGGATCCAGGATTTAATTTTTGGGGGGGGGGGCTTCAGCCCTAAAGATTCTTCTTCATATACATATAACAATAATTAATTAGAAAAAAAAGAAAGAAATTAACTACCTATATGAAATGTTATTTAAGTGGTTCTTGAAGTGAAGTCCTATTAAATGTAATTACATGAACAAGAATACTTTAAGAGATACTTCAGCCCGAAAGCCCTCCCCTCCCTTCCCCCGTAGATCCTTTATGTCCTATTCCGATGGCAAGGAATGTTTTTAAATATGACCTGGATAACTCTGGAATTCCATAAAAAGGTTTTTTAGACCCCTATTAGATAGATTATTTGTATTGTTGGATTAAACTCTTAATTCCTTAAATGTTTTATTTATGAATTATTTGATATAATAATCAAAGGGGAATGGTATATTGGTGCTAATTTGATTTTTTAATTTTATAAAATTTACTTTTTTTGTTATTAAAATATATAAGCCTGCTTTTAATTTTTAACTGTAGTTTTTTCATAAAATAAAGTTCTTTCTTTAGTACTTTTTGAAATTCAAGCAGGTAAAGAATATTTAGTCTAATGGAAGAGTTGAATTAAAACATCATTTCTATTTAAAGAACCCTTTTAGTCCATTAGTAATTGTCACCATTTTGAAATTACTTACATGCCCAAGTTCATTCATATTCAGTGATACCAGATAAATCCAGTTCACATAAAGTCTTGTCTTTATCTTTCCACCTATTGGCTCAGCGATGTCCCTGAACTTAGTTATTTTTACGTTATACTAAATAGTCTGTTGAGCAGTCCTATCTATTGTTTG